ACTAAACAACTGCACCTCCTAGTTGCGAACCATTTCAACTCCCCCTCCCATTCCGCAGACGTCATGTCCATCCTCGGCCTCCTGCAGTGCCACGACGATGTTACCCGAAGGTTGCAGGAACAGCAACTCATATTCCGCTTGGGAACCCTGCAGCCCAATGGTATCAATGTGGACTTCACAAGCTTCAAAATCTCCCCTCCCCCTACCGCATCCCAAAACCAGCCCAGCTCGTCCCCGCCTCCTTGTCCTTCCTCCCACCTATCCCCTCCTCCCACCTCAAGCCCCACCCCCATCTCCTACCTACTAACCTCATCCCGCCCCCTTGACCTGTCCATCCTCCCTGGACTGACCTATCTCCTCCCTACATCCCCACCTCCCCACCTACACTCATCTTTACTGGCTCCTTCCCCACCTCTTTGACCGGTCTGTCTCCTCTCCACCTATCTTCTCCTCTATCCGCCTCCCCCTCTCTCCCTATTTATTTCAGAACCCCCTTCCGCTCCCCCATTTCTGAAGAAGGGTCTAGGCCCGAAACGTCAGCTTTCCTGCTCCTCTGATGCTGCTTGGCCTGCTGTGTTCATCCAACTCTACACCTTGTTATCTCAGATTCTCCAGCATCTGCAGTTCCTACTATCTCCGGACTCAATGTTAACTTGGTTTCTCTCTCCAAAGACCAGTCTGAGTTTCTCCAGTGCCTACAGTTTCTATTTCAGATTTCCAACAACTGCAGTATTTTATCTTTATTTCCGTAACAGACTCTTGGGAAAAGTGAGAGGGAGGAGGCAGATCTACCCCACCTCTGTCAGAGAGAATCAAAAACTCATTAATGGGAGGTGAGTGGTACTGGCTAGGATGATGCCTACCTCTACATGAACTGAGCAGCTTGCTAGGCCATTTCAGAAGGCAGTCCCGACCCGAAACGTCAACTTTCCTGCTCCACTGATGCTGCCTGGCCTGCTGTGCTCCTCCAGCTCCACACTGTGTTGTTTCTGACTCCAGCATCTGCAGTTAGAATTACAATCATAGAATCCCTACAGTGTGGAAACAGGTCCTTCGGCCCAACAAGTCCACACTGACCCTTGGAGCATCCCATCGAGACCAATCCCCCTATAATCCACACACCCCTGAACACTACAGGCAATTTAGCATGGCCAATCCACCCTAACCTGCACATCTATGGACTGTGGGAGGAAACCGGAGCACCCGGAGGAAATCTGAGGCTGGAATTGAACCCGGGTCCCTGGCGCTGTGAGGCTACAGTGCTAACCACTGAGCCACCATGCCGCTCCATTGTTCTTGCTATCTCAGAGCCAACCATATTGCTGTGGGTCAGGAGTCACATGTAGGCCAGATCACAGAGAAGCGACAGCCAAGTGATATTATTGCAGGGGCAGCACGGTGGCTCAGTGGTTAGCACCAGGTTCAATTCCACCCTCAGGCGACTGTCTGTGTGGAGTTTGCACATTCTCCCCGTGTCTGCGTGGGTTTCCTCCAGATGCTCTGGTTTCCTCCACAACCCAAAGATGTGTAGGCTAGGTGGATTTGCCATTGGAAATACAGGGTTACAGGGATAGGGTAGAGGGGGTGAGTCTGGATGGGACGCTTTCCGGAGGGTGGGTGTGGACTTGATGGGCCAAATGGCTTGCTTCCACAATGTAGGGATTCCATGATTCTACCAGGTAAGGACAGCAGATTTCCCTCCCTAAAGAACATTAGTGAATTAAAACATGACTTTTTTTTCAGGACTGTTGACAATAATTTCATGGTCACAATTCCTAATACCAGCTTCCAATCCCCGACTTAGTTATGTAATTTAAATAGGGTTTGAACCAGCATCTTTACATCATTAGACTCGGCCTCCACATTAGTGATATTACTGCTAATGCCACAACCTTCCGAGGTTCAAACTCAGGGAACCATCATCTTTTTGCTCATCTCCTTCTAACCAATCTAGTCCAGATACGTTATAGACTCTGCCATGACAGAAAGGCTGATCAAGGGCAAATCCTTCCCCAAACTGTTGATCACATTTTTACAAGACCGACACCATGTAAAAGTCTGGGGTTCCATCATGCAGCTAGCATCCGGCATTTCGTCATTGATAACCAAGGGCTTTTTGCTACAGCAGTCCTTAGACTACAGCTGAAATCTAGCACAAAGCAGCCTCCCACCTCTAAGCTGAACAGCTCAGGCGAGATCTTACAACCGCACGGGGGCTGGATTTACAGATCAGCTACAGCACCAAACTTCGAGAACCGCTGAGAGATAAAGCCCAGTGCCTCACGGATTGTGTCTCTGGAACCTCGTTAAGTGACTCACGTTTCAAATATTGCACGCAATGCTTCTTCAGTAATTCGAGTGGTTACGTTCCCAATCCAGATCGGAAATAATTCCCTAAAGAACACAAGACTTCCATCATTACGGTCCAAACTGAAAGGGCCTGACACAGACAATTCACAAACACACAAGGTCAGAGCACAAACAGTTTACACCAAAGACAGAGAGACTGAAACCATGGACACACTAACTAGCACCAAGACAAGTTAAATCATTCATATAATGAACACTGTGGAGACTAACGTCCTGGTGGACTGGTTTGCTGGTGCTATCAGGAATGGGTCAAACTGGAATTAGAAGATAACGCGCACGGGGAAGAAAAAGCCGACCTGAAAATTGGGAGAGGCAGACAGCACGGGAGTAAGGAATATCAAGGAGCAACGTAGAGTCAGATTATGAGGGAATATGTTTTTGATTCGGCTTTAAGACAGGCACGTCAATGCACAAGGAGTGGCAAATAAAGTTGGTGGGCTTCAGAAACAGAAAATCAAACGGTTGCAGCAATAACAGACCTGGTTTGGAAAAAGAGAGCACAAAACTGGGTGCTAAATATTCCCAGATAAAGGGGTGTTCAGGAAAGATAGGGAAGGAGAGAGAGAAGAATATCATAGTTGAGGGACAGGGTGTCCTCGGGGAGGGGGGCAAGGTGCCAAGAAACAATAGCAGTTCCACTATCTTACTCAGTATATCAATGCACAATGAATGGGAAAAGTGTACATAAAGGGGGACTTCAACTATCCTAAAACCAATGGGGATTTAGCCTACTCTGCCAATAGGACTTTTGCTAATTGGTATCTTTAGTCTGGTTACCAAGGGAGGCTCTACAATCCGGAAGAACCTGGATCTATTGACGAGAATGCTTATCACCCTTCAGAGGCACTTACCTCGGCTGCAGTTGTGACTGTACTAACATTGAGGCAGGTTTATTTTTGGATTTTTTCACACGTACAAAATCCTTATCATCTTCATCTAATACATATGTATTTGTAGTAATTTGGCAATTTCGAGGTTTTGGAGCTGAAGTAAAGATGGAAGAAATTAGAGGCAGTGAAAAATGTGAAACAGACAGACTGCAGCAGGTTCAACAATCACCTTTCCAAGTTAACTGAGTGGCGTCCTTGGTGTGGCGGAGTTATATTAACTTTCATTCAGCAGTGGAACCACTTGAACTTAGCAAAAAATTTTCACTTAGTCCGAACCACCACCACCCCCCACCAATCCCGCAACTCTGTGTCTGCCTCAACTCCCATTCATTTTGCTCAGTCTCTACACCACATACATCAACCTGAAGAGCAAGACGACCCCCAACTGTCCCATCCTCAGCCACTGGGTGCTTATAGTGCATCATCACAGTCTCAAGGTCACCATTCCTACACACCCAACCACAGTGCTTTACCACCAATTGGTCACATTAAACGTGCAGTGTGTTAGGTAGTCAAAGACAGATAGCCAACAGCAAGATCCCACCAGCAGCAAAACAAGACTGAGTGGCTAACCTGTGTGGCTCAGGTTGGGGTTGTTTGGGATTTTTTTGGGGTGGGGGTTGGGGGAAGGAGGGATAATGTGGCCTGGATACAATAGAAATCTGTAGCAGCTACCTGGACAGGCACCTTCACAACTTACCTGGGTGTAATGAGCAGAGTCCCACAAGGATCAGTGCTGGGGAACCTCAGCTATTTGAAGTATACACCGGGATGTTTCTTTTGTGGGATGTGGGCAGCACTAACAATGTCAGAGACAACAAGGTGCAGGGCTGGATGAACACAGCAGGCCAAGCAGCATCATAGGAGCAGAGAGGCTGACGTTTCGGGCCTAGACCCTTCATCAGAAAAGGGGGAGGGGAAGGGGGTTTTGAAATAAATAGGGAGAGAGTGGGAGGCGGATAGAAGAGGGATAGAGGAGAGGATAGGTGGAGAGGAAACAAACAGGTCGAAGAGGCGGGGATGGGGCCAGGAAAGGTGAGTGTAGGTAGGGAGTTAGGAAGGGGATAGGTCAGTCCAGGGAGGACGGACAGGTCAAGGGGGCGGGATGAGGTTGGTCGGTAGGAGATGGAGGTGCGGCTTGAGGTGGGAGGAGGGGATAGGTGGGAGGAAGAACAGGTTAGGGAGGCAGGGACGAGCTGGACTGGTTTTGGGATGCGGTGGGGGGAGGGGAGATTTTGAAACTTGTGAAATCCACATTGATACCATTGGGCTGCAGGGTTCCCAAGCGGAATATGAGTTGCTGTTCCTGCAACCTTCGGGTGGCATCGTTGTGGCACTGCAGGAGGCCCAGGATGGACATGTCGTCTGAGGAATGGGAGGGGGAGTTGAAATGGTTCGCGACTGGGAGGTGCAGTTGTTTGTTGCGAACCGAGCGTAGGTGTCAGCATTTGTTGCCCTTGAACTAGACCACGTGGCTTTGATTTGGGAAGCACAGGTATGCCAGATAGAGAAAGGATGGTAGATCGCCTTCTCTAAAAGGTATCAGTGAACGATGATGTGTTCTTGTGACAACCGATGGCAGTTGAATGGTCATCAGTACCTATACTAGCTTTCCATTCTAGATTTTACATGAAAATTCTCAAGGTTCATGTTCATGTGCATTCAAACAAGGAACACAAAGTTAGCAATGCAGCATGGCAAGTTATTAGGAAAGCAAATAGCATGCTGACCTTAATAGAAAATTCTGCTTTCCCTTCCTACTACCAAAATGAATTATCTCGTATGTTCCCACATTATATTCCATCTTGTTCCCCACTCTCTTTTGTGTTTTGCAGTTTCATTGTACCCTCTGCTCAGGTTACATTCTCATCCAGCTTTGTATCATCAGCAACTTGTACTCATTGCTCTTGTGACCTTTGTTTAAAGCATTGGGGAGACTGTGGCACAACGGTAATGTCAACGGGCCAATAATCCAGAGGTTCGGGCAAATACTTTGGGGGACACGAGTTCAAACCCCACAGCATCAGATGAAATGTAAATTTAACTCATAAAATTTAGAATTGAAAGCTAGTATTGGTAATGGCAACCACGAAACCATGAAAACTCATCCTGATTCACTAATGTCCTTCAGAGATGGAAATATGCCCTTTGCTGTAAGGAGTTGGAGCATCAGAATAAAATTGTACAGGGCATTCGTGGTCCCACATCTGGAATACTGGCTGCAATTCTGTTCTCCACTTTTAAAAGGAGGGTACACTTGCATTTCAGTGGTGCAGTGATGAGAGGCAGAATAAACTGGTCCAATATTCTCTGAAATTAACAATGTGAAGAATGAAACCAAAGCTGCAAAGTTATATATCTCCCTTGAAAGACTGAACACACTGGAGAGTTTTTAGATCCAATTGAGGCCTTTAAAATTACCAAAGGACTTTTACAGTGCACACGCAGAGATGATGTTTCCACTTGTGAGCAACACCACAATGGAGGGACCTTAAAAATGAGATCATAACCAATAAATCCAATTGGGAATAAGGGAGAAACTTCTTTAGCTGGAATGCGGAACTCACTCTCACAAGGAGTAGTTCAGTCAAATAAAGATGTTTTGAAGGAGAAGCTGGACAAGCACATTCTCCAACTCACCCAACTCTAGTCTTGCAAAGGGATTAAGTCAGTTGGACGAGCAGGCAAAAATGTTTGGCAGGTGGGAGCATAATGTGAGAAAATGTGAGCTTTTCCACTTTGGCATGAAGAGCAGAAACCCTATTCTTCACATGGAGAGATTGCAGAATGCTGCAGTGCAGACAGCTGGATGTTCCTTTGCATTCAGGTACAACAAGTAATTAGGAAGGCAAATAGAAGGTAGGCCTTTATTGCAGGGGGATGGACTGTGAAAGTAAGGGAAGGCTTGCTACAGTTGTTCAGGACATCGATGAGATCTCACCCAGAATAGTGAACACAGTTTTGGTCACTTCATCTTAGGGAGTGGCAATGGCCTAGTGATATTATCACTAGACTGTTAATCCAGAGACCCAGGTAATCCATAGAATCCCTACAGTGTGGAAGCAGGCCATTTGGCCCATCGCATCCACACCAACCCTCCAAAGAGCATCCCACCCAGACACACCCCATCTCTGCAACCTTGCATTTCCCATGGCTAACCCAGCTAGCCTGCACATCCCTGGACACTATGGATAATTTAGCATGGTCAATCCACCTAACCAGCACATCTTTGGACTGTGGGAGGAAACCCACGCAGACACGGGGAAAACATGCAAACTCCACATAGACAGTCACCTGAGGGTGGAACTGATCCAAGTGCCTGATGCTGTGAGGCAGCAGTGCTAAACACTGAGATATCGTGCCACGCCAGGTAATGTTCTGGGGATGTGGGTTAAAATCTTGCCGTGGTAGAAGGTGGAATTTGAATTCAATAAAAAATTACTGCATTTAAGAGTCTAATGACCATGAATCCCTTGTCGATTGCTGGAAAAACCCATCTGCTTCACTAATGCCCTTTAGGGAAGGAAACTGCCATCCTCACCTGGTCTGGTCTACGTGATTTCAGACCAACAATAATATAGTTGACTCTTAACTGCCCCACTGGGCAATTACGGATGGGCAATAAATGCTTGCCTAGTCAGCAACGCATTCATCCCGTGAATGAATAAGAAAACACACTTGCTGCAGTTCAGAGAAAGTTCATGAGGTTGATTCCCAAGATGAAGGGCTGCTCTCCTGAAGAAACAGTGAGAAAATTAGGCCCAAGCTCAATAGACTTTGGAAGAATAAGAAGTGATCTTATCAAAATATACTGAGGGGGCTTGACAAAGCAGATGCTAAGAGCATGTTTCCCCTCAGGGGCCCAGTTTCAAAACAAGTGGCTTCCCATTTAAGACAGAACAGGAGGAACTTCATCTTTCAGGAAGGTTTTAGTGTTTGGAATTGCCTTCTCCAAAGCGGCTTCTCTGAATATATTCAAAGTTGTGTTGGACTGATTTTGACTGAAAAAGAGAGAGAGTCAAGGGTTAGGGAGGGACAGGAACGAAAACAGAGTTGAGTATCTTATTGACTGCGAGAGCTGGCTCAATGGGTTGAATGGCCCAATTCTACTCCTATTTTGAATGATTTTATACCCGTTGCCAAAATCCTCCCTTATCCCTCTAGAGTAGCATATTCCAGTTCACTCCAAGCTGATAACCTAGATCCTAACATGCACTCAAACATGCTGCCGGACCTGCTGAGCTTTCCCAGCAATTCCTGTCTTTGTCCCTAACACACACTGTGCAATTGTAAAATTCTCATCCCTACTTACAGGTCCCTTCACTGGTCTACTCCTCCAATTATGAACTGCAACATCCCAATTCTAATTACTTCACTGGCAGCTGTAGCTTCCAGTAGTCAATATTGCAGTCAATACCCAAGCTCTGGAATTCCCTCCACAGCACCTGCCTATGTCCCATCATGTTTGAAAACCCTCCGGTAAAGTGCATTGAAATATTTGATTATGTCCAGGACGGTAAGTACAAACTGCTCCTGCTGACAGACTAAGGGGGGGGAGGGGGGTGGAGCGGGGGAGCAGCCGGCCAGAGACAAGTAATATAACTCGTCAGATTCTCACCTGATGATAGTAGTATTTCTTCTAAACTGCCATATTTATTTAGAATCTCGTCACATTGCTGCTGAGTAAAACCTCGGTCCTGCAAGACACAACGGATTTCAACATTACAAATGAGGCAGGTTTAGAAGTCACAGCTCCACCCAGTCTGCTCAGTGGTGATAAATCAGAGAACAGCTCCCAGCTTACATCAGCCTACACCACATCAATCAGTAAGGTACGTGCATTTCACTGTGCTTCAATGAGACAGGACAGACATGCGCTTGCAACTGACAGCGAGCAGGCATGGCTTCACATCCTACTTGAGACTTGAGTGAAATAAAAGACACAGCTCTCTGGTGCAATATTGAGTATGCTGTGGGTTGTCAGAGCGGATCGATACCAAATAAGGGCAAACATTAATAATGAGACAATACACATGCTGGTTGTACTTAAAATTAATAAGCCACAAGAAGTGAATTCAATCTGCCCTTGCAGACAGAGGCACTGCCTATCAGACGTGATGCCAGAGCACTGGCGCATTGAAACTTACAAATACAAGTTCAAAAAAGGATGTAAGGATTGTGATGAAACTGTGACTTGGGAGCATAATTTTTAATGTTAGATACTCTAAGCTGGGATTTCTGGTTTTGAATGAGTAACGAGTGGGTCTGTATATCTGAAGTTCAGCGTTAATCTGTAAGAAATACTCTAACCGTATACCCGCGTGGGAGATTATGCCTGACAAAATTTGTTTGAGTTCTTTGAAGTAGTGACCAGGAAGGTTGATGAGGGCAGGGCAGCAGATGTAGTCTATATGAATTTCAGTAAGGCCTTGGATAAGGTTCCACATGGTAGGCTGCTCTGGCAGGTTAGATCACAGAGTCCAGGGAGAGCTGGCAAATTGGATATACAATTGGCTTGATGGTAGGAAGCAGAGAGAAATACTTGTCAGACTGGAGGCCTGTGACTAGTGTTGTGCCTCAGGGGTTGGTGCTGGGCCCATTACTGTTTGTTATTGATATCAATGATTTGGATGAGAATGTACAAGGTATGATTAATAAATTTGTGGATGACACTAAAACGGGTGGTATCATGGACAGTGAGAAAGGTTATCAGAAGTTGCAGCAGGATCTTGATCAGCTGGGGAAGAGAAATGGCAAATGGGGTGTAATATAGATAAGTGTGAGGTGTTGCATTTTGGAAAGTCAAATCCAGGTAGGAGTTTCATGGTGAATGGTAGGGCCTTAAAGGAGTGCAGTGGAACAGAGGGACCTTGGAGTTCAGGTGCATGCTTCTCTGAAAGTGGAATCACAGGTAGACAGGGCAGTGAAGGAGGCTTTTGGCACACAGTGCTTTGATTGATCAAGACCAGAGTATACAAGTTGGGAAGTTGGTGAGGCTGTACTTGGAGTACTGTGTTCAGTTTTGGTCACCTTGCTAAAGGAAGGATGTTATTAAACTGGAAAGAGTGCAGAAAAAATTTTCAAGGATGTTGCCAGGACTCAAGGGACGAAGTTGTAGGGAGAGGTCGGATAAGCTAGGACATTTTTCTTTAGAGCCTTCTCCAAACAGGATCGACCATTGTTGGGGTTGAGCTATGTGGCACCAACATTTAGAACTTCACCTATTAATTGAGACATCATGTAGGAGTGAACATTTTACAGAGGTAGTTCAACAGCAAGGAGCTTCGTTAACACAGAAAACAGCCCTCAGCCCAAGGAAAAACACACCTTCTTGCCTCCCAGGGGGGTTTTGATGAAGAGTCAACTAGACTCAAAACATTAACTTGGTCTCTCGCCATGGACGTTGCCTGATCCGCTGTAATCTCCAGCACTTATTGTTTTCATCAACAATAGCAAATTTCACCCATCCCCCCAGTGCCAAGGTTGCAATAGGCAACTGCTTTGCAATGTAATATTTTGTGTAAAAAAAAGTGCATCCTCCTGTGACAGTCCTGCACAGCCGTCCCTGAATCCATCTGCAATCTCCTCCTTCCCTCTATAAGCACCCGTATCTCATTAATAAAGCTAAGGAACCTGCAATTTTTTGTATGCTGCTTTTTCAAGCCTTCCCATCTCCTGCATTGCTCAGATTAGCAAATATTCACTTTTCCACAGTCAAACATGTCGCGTCTCGTCACAACTTGTGCACTAAATCGTATATGGCCTGTGTCTAACCATCTCAAATATATGTCCCACTGAGACAGGGTCATTAACATCCTCACAGTTTTCCACAGCTGGGATTTGAACCCAGACCTTCATTATTTAAGAATGCACTATATTACTCACCATCAGTAGCTGCATCTGAACTTGAAGTAGCTCATATTCAGCATCTTTACAGGAACTATCAATTTTTAGCACCTCTTGGAAAGCCTCTATGGCCTCCATGTATTTCTGCAGGTGAAAGACCAGACACATGGTTATAATGTATTATCATTTACAATGGCGTTTGAATATGATGCTTACATCAGTGCAGGGAATTTCTCACAGCAGATGGCACGAGCTGCTAAATGAGGAGAATTCTCTGTGTAAGGCGTCACAAGGACATGTTAGTGTACAGTCTTTGTACTGAACCAGTAACATGAATGTAAATGAATTTAAGTCCTGCCCTGAAAGTTAAATACTTTAATTCAGCAAATCTGTTACTTCAGCCTGGCTAGGCACGGAGGTCACCACAAGGTTGTCAGATTGCTGCATCCTTTCTAGTGTTTAATGAATGCCCTTCAGAGAAAGGAACCTGTCCCCTTTCCAATCTGCACACAATCAGGCCCACAAGTCTGAGAGCTCAAGACACTAATTATGAGCAATTAGCTGCCAATATTCCCCACGTGAAGAATTTGACACTCTCACACACAAATCTATTGGATGTATTTGCATTTGCAGATACATTCTGTTTTGTTCATAAAGCACACAATTCGTAGACACAGTCAATGGGGCATTTTATAAATTTCTGCTTTGGAAATAAAACCAGTCTGACTCCAGGTTAAAATACAGACAGATTCTGAACAAGGCTTCACGCCTAAAATCGTTGCCTAACCTGCGATGTCACCTCTTGTATACATTGATAAAAGCTTTAGTTACCTCGGGGCAGTGGCTTGAAAGAAATTCTGGGATTCGCATTTGAATCAGTTGAAACCTCCATCTCCTTTCTAACTGATTAAAGATTTAACAGGAAGGAGTCAGTCTGCCATTTTAGGGTTTTTCAATTCATTCACATCAGTTGTATAATCATTTACTTATAAATTCTGGTCTTGGTGCTTTTCTCACTACACCTGACAAAGGAGCAACGCTCCAAAAGCTAGTGTGTTCAAATAAACCCATTGGACAACAGTTCTGAGGAAGGGTCACCAGACCCAAAACATTAACTCTGTTGTTTCCTTCACAGATGCTGCCAGACCTGCTGAGCTTTTTCAGCAACTTCTGTTTTTGTTCCAGTTGGACAACAATCTGGTGTCATGTGATTTTTTTTTTTTTACCTTGTCCAACCCCGGTTCAACACCGGCACCTCCACAACATGCAACACATCCAAGACCATGAATGTTTGGAAATAGCTGGGGCTTCAAATTCCAACCAGTTACTGGAAGGATAATATTCAGCTGGAGAGGGTTCAGAAGAGATTTACCAGGATGTTGCCAGGAATGGAGGATTTGAGTTAAAAGGAAAAGCTGGATAGGCTGGGACCTTTTTTCACGGGAGTGGAGATTGAGAGGTGACCTTATAGAGGTTTATAAAATCACGAGGGACGTAGATAAGGTGAATGGCAGGTGTATTTTCCTTGGGGTGGGGAATTTCAATACTAGGGGGCATTTTTTTAAAAGGTGAGAGGAGAAAGATTTAAAAAAGACATGAGGGGCTACTTTATTTATATAGAAAATGGTTTGTATATGGAATGAAGTTCCAGAACAAGTGGTGGACAGGGGTACAGTTACAACACTTAAGATACTTAGATAAGTACATAAATAAAAGATGTTCGGAGGGATATGGGCCAAGTGCAAGCAGGTGGGACCAGTTTAGTTTATGGCTGGCATGGACTGGTTATACCAAAGGGTCTATTTCTGTGCTGCATGACACTATAAGTAACAAAAAAGGGGGAGTCAAGAACAATGGCCTGAACTGATTAAACACAGATGATAGGGTATGAACACACAGCAACAATTCAAGGGAAAGGGATTTGCATGGGGAGCAGAACGGGAGGGTAGGAAGTGCCTTCAATAGCAGGGGTACAAAACAATGGCAAAGCACCATTCACCAAAACATACTGAATTAACCCCAAAAATTGTAACAGACAAAAATTCGAAGCATTTTACCTTAACTCCAGCTAACGCTCTAGCTTTCCTGAAGTATCCTTTAGGCCAGGATGGATTCAGGTTCACTGCTATTTGAGCATCACTCAACGCTCGACTATATTGCTTCAGTCTCTCATAGCAATAGGAACGGTTTCCAAACAGTCTGTAAACAATGAACATCAGTCCAAAATTACATAACAAAGGTTCAGCATGGGATTAGATACAGAGTAAAGCTCCCTTAATACTGTCCTATCAAACACTCCGGGGTATTGTGGGTAAATCACAAGTTACCTTCAATCCAGAGATAGTAGGTCTAGGCCCGAAACATAAGCCTTTCTGCTCCTATGATGCTGCTTGGCCTGCTGTGTTCATCCAGCCCTGCACCTTGTTGTCATTGTAGGAACTGCAGATGCTGGAGAATCTGAGATAATCTGAGAATTGCATTTCTGAAGAAGGGTCTAGGCCTGAAACGTCAGCCTTCCTGCTCCTCTGATGCTGCTTGGCCTGCTGTGTTCATCCAGCTCTATACCTTGTTATCTCTTACCTTCAATCCAGCTACTTATTAAGAAATCTCTCAGATGAAACAATGATTCAAACTTTATGGCATATAGCAACCAAATATCAGACCCTCAATTATAAGCCTCGACTCAGCTTAGCTATTACCTGATTAATGGTCAAATCTGGTCAGGACTTAGAGTCATAGAGATGTACAGCACGGAAACAGACCCTTCAGTCCAACTTATCTTTGCCAGCATTTGGGCCATATCCCTCTAAACATTTCCTATTCACGTACCCATCCAGTTGCCTTTTAAATATTGTAATTGTACCAGCCTCCATCATCTCCTCTGGCAGCTCATTCCACACTCACACCACCCTCTGCATGAAAAAAATTGCTCCTTGGGTCCCCTTTATATCCTTCCCCTCTCACCTTAACCCTATGCTCTCTAGTTTTGGACTCTCCTACCCTGCTGAAAAGACCTTGGCTATTCACCTTATCCATGCCCCTCATGATTTTATAAACTTCTATAAGGTCACCCCTCAGCATCCAACTCTCCAGGGAAAATGGCCCCAGCCTACTCAGCCTGTCCCTATAGCTCAAACCCTCCAACCCTGGCAACATCCTTGCCGATCTTTTCGAAACCCTTTCAAGTTTCACAACATCTTTCCTATAGCAGGGAGACCAGAATTGAATGCAGTATTCTAAAACTGGTCTCACCAATGTCCTGTGCAGCTGCAACATGACCACCCCAGCTCCTATACTCAATGTACTAACCAATAAAAGGCAAGCATACCAAACACCACCTTCACCACCCTGTCCACCTGTAATTCTACTTTCAAGGAACTATGAACCTGCACCCCAAGGTCGCTTTGTTCAGCAACTCCCCTCCAGGACCTTACCATTAAGTGTATAAGTCCTGCCCTGATTTGCCTTTCCACAATGCAGCACCTCACATTTATCTAAATTAAACTCCACCTGCCAGCCCATCTGATCAAGGTCCTGTTGTACTCTGAGGTAACCTTGACTGTTCACTACACCACCAATGTTGAGTGTCACCTGCAAACTTACTAACCATACCTCCTGTATTCACATCCAAATCATTTATATAAATGACAAAAAGCAGAGGAGCCAGCACCAATTCTTGTGGCACACCGCTGCTCATAGGTCTCCAGTCTGAAAAACAATCCTCCACCATCACCCTCTGTCTTCTACCTTCAGTATCCAAATGGCTAGCTCCCTCTGTATTCCATGCGTTCTAGTCTTGCTAACCAAACTACCACAAGGAACCTTGTCAAATACCTTACTAAAGTCCGTACAGACCACGTGCACTACTCTGCCTTCACTAATCCTCTTTGTTACTTCTTTATAAAACTCAATCAAGTTAGTAATTCAACCAACAGTGATCTGTCTCTGGAAGTTTCTAGAGTTTGGTCCTTCTGCAACATTCAATTCAAAATTCTGCTGTGGAGTTGTTCGGTTTTCAATTCATAGAATCATAGAATCCCTACAGTGTGGAAACAGGCCCTTCGGCCCAACAAGTCCACACCGACACAGAGCATACCACCCAGACCTATCCCCCTAATCCACATATCCCTGAACACTACGGGGCAATTTAGCATGGCCAATCCACCTAACCTGCACATTTTTGGATTGTGGGAGCTGTCCTTTGGTCTCTGAGGTGATACACTGATGGTTTCTTTACAGTCCTTTCATCCAAATGGCTGTAGCTGGCTTCCTTATCAAAAAGTAATTTCTTTGTTTCTTGTTACATTTGGCATTAACTGCTTGTTTGAAGACTCAGCTTTCCTGTGGTTAACTCTAAATTCTTTTGCAGGGCAATCCTTATCCTTTATGGCCATAAAACACCCCATTTCTCAAGCAGGTGTTAAAGCATTTTGTTTACATAACCTTGCCAAGACATGGCTAATCTAACAGCCTTTGTTCTTTAACAATGCATTCCAGACAGAATTATCGCTATCTGTGACAGTTTATTTATCTTTGTTGATTCGTTCAGTTCATGAACAGTTATAAAAGTTCTGAAATCTACAATATCACACAGGGCCATTACAGCGTGAGTCAGATACTTCCCCTCACGTTGTGACATTAATGGGTCTCCCCGAAGCCTCAGGAATTACCATTTACATTAACTGACATTTCGATGGGGCAGATTTGATGAAACCCAATCATTTCACATGGAATGTTGTGACTTAGCAATGGAAGAGAGAGACGTTTAAAGCCTCCTCATTGTAGACGATGACAAAACGACAACAAGAAGTTGCTGCAGACGTGAGAAATAACACTTAATAGATTCAGGAGCTGGGGCCATCCTTGTCTCAGTAGCAGCATTCTCATCTGTGTCCAAAGGATTTATCTAGAATGGCATTTTATTGAAATACTAAATTGCTACTCTGCCAGCTAGATATAAAGGATCCCAGGCTGTATTTTGAAGAGGAAGAATGGAATTTGACCAGTGTTACACCCAATGTTCCCCTTTCAACCAACATCACTAAAGGAGACTATCTGATCATTAACCCATTGCTGCTCAGAGGAGCTTACCGTGCACAAACTGGTTACTACATTTCCTGACATTTCAAAATTATTTCACTGACCTAATCACAGTGAGACAGGTTGTATTGACAACTCAGATTCTCCAGCATCTGCAGTTCCTTCTGTCTCTAAAATAAATCTGAATGCTTTCCTTCTTCTTACAAGATTATGTAGTAACAGAAGACAGGAACCACATTGCTTGCCACCCACTCTCTTTCAAACAGAATGTTGAGACTTGCCACTTACCTATATTCTTTTGGATCATATTTAATTGCTTCTGTAAAATATTCCACTGCATCTTCATAGCGTCCCTCATTAGCCTTACTATTTCCTTGCACTGTGAAGGGAAAAGCAAGGCAACCATCAGCTTCAATGCATTAGAACACAAACACAGCCGGAGCAATAAATAGCCATTCAGCCCATCTGAGCCAATCTAGTACAACCCCATGGCTGATAAATCCAATGTGAACCCTCCTCCCACAGAGTCACTTTTGGATCCAAAGATTAATGGTCGATAAATGCTTTTGCAAATGGAAGGCAGTTTCCAATGCAGTTCCACAGGGCATGGCAGTCTGTCCCTTGTTTTCAGCAGAATTTATAAGTGGTTCAGACTGAACTGTAGGAGGTATGGTTAAATGATTTGCAGATGATACATAAATTGACGGTGTTTTTGACAATCACAAAGAAATCTGCAGGTTGCAGAAGATATCAATGGCACTGCCGTTCCCATGCCTTCTCCAACTTACAGTCCCCTATGCCACCTGAAACCTGTGTTCACCTTCCAGATCCCAATCCGATACCAGAACTCGGGGTGTGCAACTGTGGGTTCTGACACTGTAAGCTTGGGCTGTAATGTTATTATAATACGTAACTCACTCCAACGCCAGTCATCTCTACAGCCTTGTTCACAGTAAGGGTACAGGAGAGGGAACTGACAAGTAGGAATATTTTTAAAAAAGCATGGATTGTAACAGCCCAGTTCAGTACAAATGTACCAATCAGGACTGGCACTTTCACAACCACAGAACTCCCACCAAAACATCGGGATCCTGAATGACAATGCGGATTCAGGACTCGGAGAGCAGCATGTTCAAAACAAAAGCTGATCGGGAAGGACAGGAGACCGCAAATCACAGATTAGAGCAGGATAGGCTGTTTCAAGATGGTGCCAATATGTTCACATGGGAAACAATGTTAAAACTAATAAAAACAGAAATTGCTGGAAAAATCTCAGCAGGTCTGGCAGCATCCGTAGAGAGAAATCAAGAGTTTTGGGTCCAGTGACCCTTCCCCAGAAACTGGTTAAAACTAATCTTACGGTGGTAAGAGATTGCACACTGCATTAAGTGACCAACATTAAAGTGGAGCATTGTTAAACAGGCATTTACTGTATATTTTATTACCACCTGTTAAACATCTGCAGAGTCAAGACTTCATACTAACTTTATAATGCGAGACATAATACATGCAGTGGTAATATCACTGGGCTAGTAATCTAGAACATGACACTAATGTCCTGTGGACAAAGAATCAAATCCCAACATGACAGATGGTGAAATCTGATTTAATAAAAATCTGGAATAAAAAGCTAGTCCACTGTTGTAAAAACCCAACGTATTCACTCATGTCCTTTCAGAAAGGAAATCTGAGCTGGACTGGCCTACACACAACTCCAGTCCCACAGCAACTCTTAACTGCCCCCAGCACCAAATACTGGTTTAGCCATTAATGCCCACACTTCCATGAACAAATTTAAAGAAAAGGTTATTTTTATGACTTTAATTATGAGACGAAAGCCCCTGCCTGGTCTTTTGCCACAGACTTGAGAGTTGGAAAAGGAACCTCCAAGCTAGAAATAAATTCTCTGTCTTCTGAAAGTGGGAGTTGGAAGAAAATTGGCAGTTTTTGAAGATGTTTGCAAGGAAGGGAAGTGTGAGGTAATCTTCATAAAAAGCAGCTGAAGAAACATCTCCAGTGAAGTATTTTTATCAGATTCAGAGGAAGTCCCAGCGATCTGTATCTCTGGTCTTCTCACATACTCCGAAAGGTGAACTGTTCACTCAATCCAAGGACTTGGGTCCATCTGATTTTCTACCTGAAACAAGGCTGAGCAGCAATCGCGACCAACAGCAATTAGATTGCAAACAGGAAATCTGAGGAAGTGAGACGTAACAGCCTTTTATAATCACCTACACGCGAACCCCTGACACACTCCCATAATAGTCTGCAGAGCTGTGTCACCTTGTCCTGTCTGTGTATGAATGTGTGTATACACTTGGGGTATAGTTTAATCCTGCAAGATTGTTGAATTGACAACCAGGTTTGACACTATTAAAAAAAACTGTGTCTTTCATGAAAGTATTATTTTTAGATTTATTGGAGAAACCTGGTGAATATTGCATTTATCGAGAACAAAAGAAAAAGGTAAAGTCACAATTGTCCAACCAGACTGTAGGGCTGCTGTCTTGTTAGAGAGAGAGATAATGGGTGGTGGTTTAACCTGACGGTCACCATGCCTCAGGCAAGGGGAGAGGTTGAGAAGTACAGTCCTTCATGGTAACCTTAGCCAATGCAGAAATTGAACTGCTGCCGTTACTCTGCATTGCCAACCAATCTTTCAACCAACTGAGATTTTTGGCAATTAACACACTTACACTTCAGGTACAACTTGAATTTCAATGCACTCCTCCCATCAGAGTTGTACTGAGTGTCAGTGAGCCTCCATCCTTCCTGAGGGACACTGCCTCAATGTTATTCTCCATGAGATATACTCTGCATCAGTGAATCTTCAATACATCCCATGAGCCTGTTCAAGTAGGTGAACCTTCATCCTCCATGAAACACTGTCCTCCAATGTCAGTGAATCTTCAACTCACAGATCACTCTCCCATTGTCAGTCAACCTTCATGAGTGTTCTCTCCCTAGAATTCCTCTAAATTATCAAATCTTCAATCACTTAGTGAACATCTCATCCAGTATTACTGGATCTTCAGCCTTCCTTTGAGAAGGATTCTTCCAGTATCAGTGGATCGTCATCTTCCAGCTCTCATTATTTCAGGTCATTTTGTCAATGACTTTCAGTTCTCAAGTACACAAAGCATCATCTCTATTACCAGTCATCTGAGCTCAAGATCACGCTGACAATAAAAGATTCCCAAAAATGGTTTTGACTTACCTGCCAACTTATAAATCTTGTCTTTCAAAGCATTAGGGTCCATAGTTTGCTGAGAAGTGCGGAAATAAAAAGTAATTAAAAAGAGATCACACAATTTGCATTAACACAGGACTTTATCAGTGTGAAAGATGTTGAACAGCACTTAGTCAAGTATTTCATTGTACAATGACCAAGATAAAGAAATGTCATTCCAGAACCAGTGAGATTCCACAAACACCAAATAGTACCAGAAAGGACAATTAAAAAACGAAGAAAAATGAAAATCATAAATACTATCACAACACTTAAAGACCACGTGAAACACCACAGCATACAAAGCAACAGGCCAAGCATTGGGAGCTCGGACTACAGTATGGAAATGACTGGGTGGACACACTGGGTTGAAGAGCCTCTTTCGGTGCTATAATACTCTACAACACTTAGAGGAAAATGCTGGAAATACTCAGCAGATCTGATCAAAACTAAGCAGACCTTCAGTGTGGCGTTAGTTTACTGGGACTTACTCGTGCAACAATGCTCAGAATATTCCTCACCTCTAGTTTCTTTTCACCTTTTTTCTTTTCGGTCTCTTTTCTCTCAGCTTTGGGTTTTATATTCATTTTACGTTTCATCTGGGTGACAGCTTTTGAAACAAAAGAACTGTTCATATCTAACTCATCCTGAAAGAAGGACAGACAGTGTCAATAGAAGCTTGTTCCACAACCCAGAAACCACACTACAAACCCTCACCCCATTCCAATATAAACTAGACAAATGCAAGAGCAGATTCCCTTCTCCCTTGCTAACTATATCAGCAGTTTAATAGAATAAAGGTGCCAGAAGCAGGAAGAGAACTGCCTCCATTAAAGCATTAATGATCAGCACAGTAAAACCTCGCAAGGACAACAGGAGAAAACTTTCTCACTCAAAGTGAAACAAAATTACTGGAAGGACAATGGAAAGGATGCAGACAGAAATTAAGCAGGAACAATGTGGTGGAGGAGAGGTACAGCATGGGGTGTGGCGAGGGAGCAGCAGCGAGGACAAGGGGTTAGGGCAAAGAGAAAACACTGAATGAGTACATGCACATCCAAGGTGATGCCAACTTGATCTGCCCATCCTTGCCCCAGCCTTTCAGATTCACTGCAGAGATGATCACACCAGTGTATATGTAAGATAGAAACAACAGGTCCTGAAGGGGGACCACCATCATGCCCCAGAAAAACAGGGCGGATTGGGATGGATGTGGGGGCATGGAATTTCAATCCCTTAGCCCATCACTATAAAGCCACCACAGCGCACTCCCCACCAGCTGGTGCACTGTAAAGTTCAGGTGCTTACCTCAGATATATATACTGATTTATCGGTGGTGTTCTCATCCTCACCCACTCTAGCAGTAACTTTCACACTATTCTCATTTTTACTGTCAGTTGTGTTGGAGCTCTGCTCTTTGCCTGCCGAAGCCCCCTTCTCAGGTAACACAGCAAGACCACGTTTAATATTTCCACTCACTTCTTTGCCATCCTCCTCTCCATCGCTACAACTTTCTTTCTTTGACAGAACTTTCTGCAGGCAGAACAGACACAACACATGATAAAACATTGTTTGTGCATTAGTTTTTATTTATCTATCCCTGGGACGTGGGCCAGCATTTATTGCCCCTTGAGAAGGTGGTGGTGAGCTGCCTTCTTGAACCGCTGCAGTCCATGTGTTGTAGGTTGACCCACAATGCAATTAGGGAGGCAATTCCAGGATTTTGAGCTAATGATACTGAAGAATGGTGATATATTTCTAAGGTCGGGATGGTGAGTGGCTTGGAGGGGAACTTGTAGGTGGTGGTGTTCCCATGTATCTGCTACCTGGTAGTGGATATTGGTTTGGAAGGTGCTAAGGATCTTTGGTGAATTTCTGCAGTGCATCTTGTAAATAGTACACACTGCTGCTACTGAGGGTCGGTAGTGGAGGGAGTGAATGCATGTTGATGTAGTGTCAATCAAGCGGCTGCTTTGTCCTGGATGGTGTCAAGCTTCTTGAGTGTTTTTGGGGCTGCACCCATCCAGGCAAGTGGGGAGTATTCCATCACACTCCTGACTTGTGCCTTGTAGATGGTGGACAGGCTTTGGGGAGTCAGGAAGTGAGTTACTCGCTGCAGCCTTTGTTCTGGTAGCCTTTGTATTTTTTTGGCAAGTCCAGTTGAGTTTCTGGTCAGTAGTAACCCCAAGTATGTTGATAGTGGGGGATTCAATGATGGTGACACAGTTGAATGTCAAAGGAAAATGGTTAAGTTGTCTCTAAATTTAGATGGCTATTGCCTGGCATTTGTGTGGCACAAATGTTACTTGCCACTTGTCAGGAAGTTGTCCGGGTCTTGTTGCATTTCAACATGAATTCCTTCACTATCTGAGGAGTTGCAAATGGTGCTGAACATTGTGCAATCAGCGAATATCCTGAATTCTGACTTAGGCTGAAAAGAAGGTCATAACCCCTTAGGACAAGGTGGGCCATCACATCACAGTCTCGTGATAAGGAGGTGCTACTTAAGGTGGATAGGGAGAAATTTCTTCAGAGGGTTGAGAATCTTAGGAATTCTCTATCCAAAATGTTCAATCCTTTTTAATTCTAATTTATTCATAGGATGTGGACATCACTCGCTCGCAAAGCATTTATTGCCCATCCCTAATTGAGGGCAGTAAGTCAACCACATTGCTGTGGGTCCAGAGTCACATTTAAGCAAGACTGGGTAAGGACCACAAATTTCCTTCCCTAAAGGGCATTAGTGAACCAGATGGGTTTTTACAACAAATGATATTAATTACACAGTCATCTTTTGATCCAGATTTATTACTGAATTTAAATTTTACCATCTGCCACAGTGGGATTCAAATCCGTATCCCCAGGACATGAGCTGGGGGTCTGAATGAACAGTCCAACAACAGAATGACTATGCCACCGTCAGATCTAAACGCACGCGAACGATCAATAGTCAAGCAAATTCACAGCTAAGACTGATATACATTTAGAGATCAAGAGGGTAGGACAGGAAGATGCAATTGGGGTGCACCAGCCATAACCTCCTGTTCCTAATTGCTATCTTATGGACCAGGCATAACACTAGGACAGTGCTGGCTCAGAGATGCATACAGTTTAACTGATTACAGAAGGGAGAAGCTTACCCCAGTCAATTAAGGCTTTCTCAAATATAACAGGAGCATGTTCTTACCTTATCATTGACATTCTCTCCAATTTTATTCTCACTTCTATTTTCTTTTTCTAATTTCTGTTGGCGCCTTCTCTCTTTCTGTCTCTGAAATTAAATCAAGTCAACACCCATCACCTAGCATGACTGGCAAAGTGCAAGATGTCAAAATGAATGTCCACCAAACATGAAGCGAGGTACCATCTGGAAGAATCAATGCTGCAGTATTCAGGTATTGTATGGCGATATACCAACAATGAGATGGAACAAAATCAAAGACTTGAATACATATTAGCATGGGGCACAGAGCAAAGACAGCAAACTCAGAGAAACACCGGTACCTGGGGCATAGATCAACAACAGATACCCTATTTCAACATAGGTTACTGGGGCATGGATCCAAGACCAGAGTCCTGCATAAATACAGGTAGCTGGCATATTGAAACAAGATAGGAATCCTGGACATACACAGGCATACAGGGCACAGAAATGAGATGGGAGCCCTACATATGCACAATTACACCAGACGTTGAAATAAAATAGGAATTCCGCACAGACCCAGGTACATGGAGCAAGAATCTAAGGGGGACATCAATCTGAGACATCAGTCCTGCGTAAACACAGGAACCCAGGTCATGGAAACGAGACAGGAGTCCTGCATAAACATAACCCAATGCAGTCAGGCACTTACTTTTTTCTTAAGTCTTCGTTTCTCAGCCTTTTTTTTAGCCTGCTCCTCTTCATTAACCAACTCTTGAGCAATTCTCTCAGCCTCCTGCAAAACACATCATGACAGTCCTACTAGGTCAGCATGAGCACACCCAACACCAATCACCTTGACAGACAGAAACTCAGGAATGAATTGGATGTCAGAAACATCATCCAGCTGAGGATGGGATGTCACCGAGAGTGGTACACCAGCAAGACCAGCACCAGTTCAGGACAGATGAAGAAGATCTCACCGAGGGTGGGGACACACCATATTGCGGGAGCAACTGAATCCAATGGGGCACTTGCATGTACAGTAAGCTACATACATTAATAAAGGACTTTATACTTTGCAGACAAAAAGAATGTGTACACACATAGTTTCAACTCAAAACAGGTGACGGCTATTCGCTGTTTAATTTCTCTGGGCAATGCCTTGACCCAAAGTCATTCTGCCTGGTTTAAAATTTCAACAAACCCTGGCATTTAGCTGCCAGTTTTCATAAACTGGCACAGTCTCCATGGCAACACCTCTACTAGAGTCCACTTGCCAACCATTCAACAATCTTTCAATTAAGCGACCACCATTCTGTAAGTTTTAAGTTATTTATGGATAAGGATAAGAGTAGCAGCACTAAACTGGGGAAAGGTTAACTATCACAATATTAGGAAGGAACCGGGGAATGTTGATTGGAGGATGTAGGGTAAATCCACATCTGACATGTGCCAGTTGACGAGAGTTCAGGACCAGTGTACTCCAAAGAAAATGAATAAGGACGGCAAGATTTAAAAACTTTGGATGACAAGAGAAATTGAGAGCTTAGTCAAAAAGAAAAAGGTATACGAAAGGAAACTGAAGACAGAGCCCTCAAAGAAAGCAGGAATGAATTTAAACAACGAGTTAGGAGAGCTAATAAGGACCATGAAATGCCTTAGTAGGATTAATGAAAATCCCAAGACCTTTTTTTATTTATATATAATGTGAAGCAAGAGGGTAACTAGGGAAAGGGTAGGTCCATTGAAGGACAAAGGAGGGATTTATGCATGGAGCTTGAGGAAATGGGTGAGCCCTTAATGAATACTTTGCATTGGTATCCACAAAGGAAAAGGGCATGGTGGATGCTGAGTCTCAGGAGGGGTATCTTTATATTCTAGGGCATATCAATATAAAAAAGGTGTTGCTGAGCGTTTTGAAAAGCATTAAAACAGACAAGTCCCCAAGACCTGATGGGATCTGCTTCAGAATATTGATGGGAGGCAGGTGAGGAAATTGCTGGGGCCTTGTATGAAATTTTTGTATCCTCTTTAGTAGGAGAGATCCCAGAGGACTGGAGAATAGTCAGTGCTGTTCCTTTATGAAGGGTAACAGGGATAATCCAGGAAATAACAGGCTGGTGAGCCTAACGTCTGTAGTAGGGAAAGTATTGGAGAACACTCCTATGGAAATGATTTATTCAGGTTTATAAAAATAATGACATATTGGTGATAGGCAACATGGCTTTGTATGGGGAAGGTCATGTCTCACAAACTTGATTGACTTTCTTGAGGAAGTGACAAAGGTGATTGATGAAAGCAGGGCAGTGAATATTATCTACATGGACTTCAGCAAGGCCTTTGGCATGGTCCCTCATGGCAGACTGATACAAAAGGTGAAGTCACATTGGGTCCATGGTGAGCTGGTAAGATGGATACAGAACTGGCTTGGTCATAGAAAACAAAGTAGCGGTGGAAGGGCGTTCTTCTGACTGGAGATCTGTGACCATCGGAGTTCCGCAGGGATAGTGCTGGGACCCTGTTGTTTTTAATATAACCATTTTGGTGGAGAATGTAGGGTGCCTGATTAGGGAGTTTGTGAATAATACAAAGATTGGGGGTAGCTACAGATAACAAAGAGGATACAGCAGGACATAAATAGGCTGGAGACTTGGGTGCAGAATATACAGATGGAATTCAATCCAGACAAATGTGAGGTGATGCATTTTGTAAGATTTAATGCAGGAGGGAGGTATGCAGGAAATGGCAGAACCCTTTGAAGCATTAACATACAGACAGATAAAGGCATACAGGTCTACAATTCCCTAAAAGTGACATCCCAATGGATAAGGTGGTCAAGAAAGCATATGGCTTCCTTGCATTCATCGGTCAGAGCATTAAAATTGGCACATCATGTTGCAGCTGTATCGAACTTTAATTAAGTCACATTCGGAATAGAGTTTGTGTACAGTCCTGGTTGACACACTACCAGAAGGATGTAGAGACTTTGAAGAGGGTACAAAATCGGTTTACTAGGATCCTACCTGGCTTGGAGGGTATTAGCTATGGGGAGAGATTGGGCAAACTTGGTTTGTTTTCACTTGAACAAAGGATGAGGGGGTGACCTGATACAAGTTTACAAAATTATGAGGTATGAATAGAACGGATGATCAAAGTCTTTTTCCCAGGGTAGAAATGTCAATTACAGCAAGATTATCCAGCCTCTATGGTTCCAGGAGTGTACCAGTTGATCAAATCTTCTGGTTAATCAAGAGGTCGACATAATGTAAAAACACACACGGAGTAATACAAACGTAATGCAGGGGGTATACACGTCACTGTGATACTTTATTTACAGTATAAATCACTTAAATAATAATGCAACTTTGCCTTAAATAAAACTTATCAGCAGACAGCCTTCTCACTCCAGCCTCAAATGGACTACTCAGACACTGCAATAATGCAGGCAGCTTCCGATATTTCAGGTATATATCTTTTGCCAGTTTATCCAGAGTGCTGGTACATAAGGTACCAGTTAAAACAGTTTGCTGTCCTAGGTGACATAGGTTTAATGTAAACGGGTAAATTTTAAAGGAGATACCAGAGGCAAGTTTTTTCGAAAAACAGAGGATATTAAGTGCCTGGAATGGACTGCCAGAGGAGGTGGTGGTAGAGGCAGATACACCAGCAACATTTAAGAGGCATCTTGACAGCAATACAAATGTTCTGGGAATAGAGGGATACGGACCATGTAGAAGCAACAGGGGCAGAGCGGAGTATGGTGGCCATCACCAAGAAGTGCTGAAAAACTGAATTGTCTGAAGGTGGTTAAATCACCTGGACCAGATGGAGCACACCCCAGTTCTGAAGGAGATACCTGAAGAGATAGTGGAGGAGTTAGTGGTGATCTTTCAGGAATTACTGGAGTCAGGGAGAGCCCTAGAGGTCTGGAATATCGCTAATGTAACCCCCCGCCCAAGGAGGGAGTAAGGCAAAGGACAGGAAATTACAGGCTGATTAACCTGACCTCAGTCATTGGTAAGATTTTGGAGTCCATTGGGAAGGATGAGATTTCTGAATACTTGGAAGTGCACAGTAAAATAGGGCAAAGTCAGCATGGTTTCATCAAGGAGAGGTCGGGCCTGACAAGTACATTATAATTCTTTGAGGAAGTAACGAGCAGTTTAGATCAAGGAGACCCCATGGATGTTATCCACTTGGACTTCAAGCAGGGCTTTGACAAGGTGCCGCACAGGAGGCTGCTGCGTAAGATAAGGGCCCACTGTGTTAGAGGCAAGGTGCTAGCATGGATAGAAGATTGGCTGTCTGGCAGAAAACAGAGTGGGGATAAAAGGGTCTTTCTCAGGATGGCAGCCAGTGACAAGTGGTGTTCTGCAAGGGTCAGTGCTGGGACCACAACTTTTCACTTTATACATTAATGATCTCGATGAAGGAACTGTGGGCATTCTGGCTAAGTTTGCAGATGATACAAAGATAGGTAGATGGACAGGTAGTATTGATGATGTGGGGAGACTGCAGAAGGATTTGGACAGGTTAGGAGAGTGGGCAAAGAAGTGGCAGATGGAGTACAACGTGGGAAAGTGTGAGGTCATGCACTTTGGTAAGAAGAATAAAAGCATGGACTACTTTCTAAAAGGGGAGAAAGTTCAGAAATCTGAACTGCAAAGAGACTTGGGAGTTCCAGTCCAGGATTGTCTCAAGGTAAACTTGCAGGTTGAGTCAGTAGTTAGGAAGGCAAGTGCACCTTTGGCATTTATCTTGAGAGGTCTAGAATATAATTGCAGGGATGTACTTCTGCGGCTTTAAAAGACCGCATTTAGAGAATATTAGGACATACATAGAACCCCTAGTGAAGAAATAGGCCCTTCGGCCCAACAAGTTCACACCAACACTCAGAGCATCCCACCCAGACCCATCCCCCTATAACACACCTAACCTACACATCCCTGAACACTACGGACAATCCACCTAATCTGCACTTCTTTGGACAGTAGGAAGAAACCGGAGCACCCAGATGAAACCCACACAGACACAAGGAGGACATGCAAACTCCACACAGACAGTTGCCCGAGGGTGGAATTGAACCCGGGTCCCTGGCGCTGTGAGGTAACAGTAACTGAGCCACTGTTTAGAATATTATGGGGCCCAAAATTGCTCACATCTCGGGAAGGATGTACTGGCCCTGGGGTGGGTTCAGAGGTGGTTCACGAGAATGATTCCAGGAATGAAAGGCTTAACATATGAGGAACATTTGAGGACTCTGGGTCTATACTCAATGGGAGTTTAAAAAGATGAGGGGGGGCTCTAATTGAAACTTACAGAATACTGAGAGACCTAGACAGAATGGATGTTGGGAAGATGTTTCCAATGGTAGGAGAGACTAAGACCCAAAAGCACAGCCTTAGAATAAAGGAAAGACCCTTTAGAATGGAGATGAGGAGAAACTTCTTCAGACAGTGTTGAATCTATTGAATTCGTTACCACAGAAGGCTGTGGAGGCCAGGTCATTGAGTATATTTAAGACAGAGATAGATACGTTCTTGATTGTCAAGGGGCTCAAAGGTTACTGGAAGAAAGCTGGAGAATGGAATTGAGGAACTTATCAGCCATGATTGAATGGCGGAGCAGACTCGATGGGCTGAAAGGCCTAATTTCTGCTCCTATGTCTTATGGTCTAGTTTAGAAAGCCATGTGTCGGCACAGTCTTGGTAGTCCAAAGGACCTGTTCCTGTGCTGTACTATCCTGAGTGTGACTGCAGTTTTTTCTTTAATTTGGCATTCTTGTGAATGTCTTCATGAGTGCAAGACAAAAAGCTCCACCAAAACTTGTTCTACTTCCAGCAATACTCAAGTTCTGCATGACCAAACAACAACGGCACTTCTCATGTTTACCTACCTCAGCAGAACCTCGATATGAATTGGAGTTTTCTTTATTGTATGGATCAGTTATATGTTTGAGTGTGGACAATTCTGGAACATGATGGAGGAAATTTTTCCGTAATCCACAAAATGTATCAATGTTGTGGTCATCGTCATCATTGGAATAGTCATCATCCTCATAGGTGTAATTATCATCATCTTCACTTGAATCTACAGGATCAATACAATAATAGTGATCTCAGATTATCTTTATTCCCAGCCTTGGCTCTTGTGCCTCCTCTCGTCAACCCCGTAAAATGACCTGATTCTATTAGTGTTGCTAGCCCAGGGACATGCCACATGAGCATCTGCTCTGGATGCATGAGGTGACACTCTAGCCACACACTCTCTAGCAGCAGCAGCACTGGGAGCAGATCACTGCTGTTTTCCCTGGTCTCTGGTTCACAGCATTGCCCCTCATGGAAACTTTAACATCCAACTGAGAAAATAGACGATGCTCATTTGAAGTTCTGAACTGTAGCACTCCCTCGGCATGGCACTGAAAATCTCCGAGTCAGAGGGACATTCAGTCTCCTGTTCTGGTGTCTTATCATACCAATGAAGGCTGTGCACAATGGCCAAATGCAGAGCTACAGGATCCAGTGCTGATTCCTGGGACTGTGCTGAATGATTGACGGTGGGGTCACAGACCACTACCACCAATATTACTATTCAAGCGTTACTGGTTGACCATCACAGGTTAGCTGCCCTGGCACATGACTCTACATCAAGAGTACCTGAACCACCTCCAGTCACTTTATGACCTTACTGATTGAAGATTAAATACTAGGGTGAATAACCAGAGGAAGCAGGAACCCATAAAATCATGCATCAGGGAGACATCTGGCTGGGACTGAGAGATGTGAGGCGGATGCAAGGAGGGTTCAAGGTGATTTAGGTAAGTTGAGCAAGAGCAAACATGGCAGATGCAATATAACATGGATAATTGTGAAATTATGCGCTATGGTGAGAGAAACAGAACACTGTAATTGAATGGTGATACATTGGGAATTAGATACACAAAGGGATTTGGGTGTCCTTATACATCAGCTAAGGAAAGGACACATGCAACTGCACCAAGCATTCATGCATGGAACACTGGCCTTCAGCGCAGTAAGACTTGAGTTCAGAAGTAGGGATATCTCACTGCAATTATACAGGGCCTTAGTGAGACCACACCTGTAGTATTGCATGCAATTTTAGTCTCCCTCCATGAGAAGGGATATGCTTGCTATGGAGAGAATGCATAAGGTTGATACCAGGGATGGCTGCTTGTCCTACGAAGATTGGTTTGAGCAGACCTGTGCTCATTGGAGTTTAGAAGGATGAGAGGGGATCGAACTGAAGCATCTCAAATTCAACAGGGCTGGACAGACTCGTTGCAGGTAGATGTTTCCCCTGGGTAGGCAGTCTAGAATTAGGGGACAGACTACTCAGAACTGAGATGCTAGTGAACCTGTGGTATTCTCGACCTCAGAAGGCTGTGGATGGCACAACACTGATTCAAGAAACAGTTTTTTTCCTAGGTTTTAAAGACATCAGGGGGGTTATGGGGAGACAGAGGGAATATGAAAGTGATTGGATAATCAGTCGTGATCATATTTAATGTTGGAGCAGGCTCAAAGGGCCAATTAGCTACTCCTGCTCCTACTCTCTATGGAAGAGGGGGGGGTGTGTGGAAGGATAAAGTGGGTGGAAATTACAAAAAAAAACAAGAAGGTTGATATTAACACAAAGATCAAGCAAGAATTTTGTAGATGCAAATTACCAAAAACATGCTGCTCCATTATGGCTGTCTCATCAAAAACACACTGGTGAACCTCCACTGGTCTGCTTTCAATTAGATTTTTAAAAAAATTATCCAGCCTCTGCAAAGAGAACACATTTGTAAAACTGAAAATGCAACCAACAACAATACCCACCAAAATGACATTAAAACCGAATTCCCCAGCCCAGGGAATTGGCAATGTGAAGAATCTGCGAGATTCACCTCATGCCAAGTATACAAGGACAAGGGCAGCAGATACATGGGAACACCAATACCTGCAAATTTTCCTCCAAGTCACTCACCATCCCGACTTGCAAATATATCACCGTTCCGTCACTGGGTCAAAATCCCGGAATTCCCTCCCTAATGGCACTGTTGGTCAACACAACACATGGACTGCAGCGGTTCAAGAAGGGAGCTCAGCACCAACTTCAAGGGGCAACGAGGGATGGGCAATAAATGCTGGTCCAACCAGCAGCACCTACAACTCTCAGTCTAAAGAATAAGTGTATAAAACACAGAATATCAAAGCCCTGGGGGGGGAAAGAGAAAGGTCACTCATGCAACCCCAGATTCTCAGTAATATGGTCGACTTCTAACTGCCCTCTGAAAGGGCATAGCAAGTTGCTCATTTCATAGGTCAGTGATAGGCGATAAATGCTGGCCTTCCATTGATGCCTGCATCCCAGGAATGATTAAACAGAAATACAGACATGAAAACACATACGCACATTTTCTGCAAGCACAAGGTTTTTCCTCTGGTTGATTGGCTGGTGTTACTTTTCCAAAGTATTCTCACTTCATCCACCTAGAGGAAAAGTCTGAACCCCACTCCTCTAAGCCAGGTGGCAGAATAACTACCGTTACAACGACAGGTGCCCTTACATGCAGCATCCATACCTGATTGGTCACCAGACTGTCTTGCAGGTTATGCTGGTAAACGTTGACTTTATCCGTCAATGTTGACGGGTAACGGCCTTCTGAAAAAACAAAGGCTTTAGGGAATTAAAACAAGTCACAGTGCACCGAAAGACATCTGCAGATTGCCTTCACCATCACTCATGGCTCTTACAAAACCTGCAGAGTCTAGTTTTTGCTTTTCTATCCTTAGCCTACCCAATGTGGAACAGCACCAGATCTACAGATTCAAACCCAAAAAGATTCATCCTTAATCCTCCTTCTATATTTCCATCTGGGCCTGCAGATTGATGTTGCTTGTGCATGTATACCTATAAAGCCCATCTTTCCAGCAGCTCGCTGAATTCTGGATTACCCGCTCAGTGACACTACCACTGCCTCCCTTCCCACACTAAAACTTTGTTCAGCTGGCTTGGCTGAAGCCTTGTTATCCTTTCAGCTGATTTTCATGAATTTACTCAGCACTATTTCCTTGAATTAAGGTCTCTCCCCGAGACCTTTAGACAAGCTACTAACTGAGCTTACTATTACCTAGATTTTAAAGACATCAAGAGGGTTAAGGAACAAGGGTTCCTTAAGTTCATTTCTTCAACAGCATTGCAGGCTGTCTTCCTCTCTGATATCTCTGCAATATCCCACTTCTGGGCTTTTCTATTAAGCTACTCAGGCCCTTTCTCAAGCCTGCCCCGGTTAGTTTTGGAGATTGCTACTAACAGCTCCTTTGCTGTATTAACGTCTCCTCTTGAATACACCTGTTTTCTGGTCCCCTCTCTCTCTGGGTGTTAAAACTCAAGTCAGCAAATTCCTTAATCATCTTAATCAAACAAAGAACTGTGGATGCTGGAGATCTGGAAAAAAAAAATCAGAAATTGCTGGAGAAACTCAGCAGGTTGGGAAGCATCCATAGGAAGAAAGCAGAGTTAACATTTTGAGACTGTCCTGATGAACAGTCACTGGACTGAAAATATTATCTCTACTTTCTTCTCGCAGATGCTGCCAGGCCTGCTGTGTGTCTCCAGCAATTTCTGTTTTTGTACTTAATTATCTTTGCACAGGGCTTCCTAGTCACTGAGCTAAAGTTACATGGTTTTGTGGAAATGATGTTTATAGTTTAATGCTCTAAATTACTTTCGAACCCTTGTAAAAAGAAAGGTCAGATCCTCACAGAACTGAAAACTAAGATCCATCTTTCCTCCACTTTTTGAAACGAAGGTTTCCAAATAATAACATCACATTATGAGTTTTCTTCACACTACAGAGATAGTTGTCTCCAAGAGAAAAAGCTACACCAAGAAATTCTAGGTACACCCATCATACAAGAATATATGGTATGACTTTCCACTTAACCCCTAGAATGGGCAGTTGTCTATTGACTCCAGACCCACAGCAATGTGGTTGACTCTTAACTGCCTTCTGGGCAATTAGGGATAGGCAATAAATGCTCCCTGGTCAGCAAAGCCCTCATCTGTGAGTGAAAAGGATACATAGGTTTAGCCTGAAGATGGCTATAATCATGCACCTGTTCTCAGCAATCTCTTCTAGAAAGGTGTCACAAAATCAACATCAACCAAGCAATCAACATTCCATGCATTTTCTGATAGGATGGGAATGCAAACTAATGGGTTATAACTTGCTGCAGAGGTGACTGTAACCAAGAGGAAATAAAACTACACAACAGAACCGCAAGTCCAGACATCCAAAAGCTGTGTTAATGGTTTTCCACATTAACCTCCCGACTGCTTAATAGACAGAGCGAGTGTGGGAAGTGTATCCCCACTGTTTTAAAAACAGGTAACATTAAATCACAGCAGGCCAAGCAGCATCATAGGAGCAGAGAGGCTCTCTGCTCCTATGATGCTGCTTGGCCTGCTGTGTTCATCCAGCCCTGCACCTCGTTGTCTCGGATTCTCCAGCATCTGCAGTTCCTACTATCTCTGATTCAACATTAAATCACAATCTGCTTATGGCTGGGTGGTGAGAATAGGATGTAAAGGGCCACTTATTTTTCCTTTCAGCCTAAGAACTGGAAGATGGATGCTACCATATAGCTAAAAAATATCAGCGCTTTTTCCTGCAATTTGAAGATCATGTAGTGTACAATTACAAAATTAAGTAAAAAGAAAAGGAACAGTGATGTGGATCCACTAGAACACAGTGGCATTAGGAGTCTTTAAGTTCAGAGGGACTTCTTTATTTATTGCCCATTCCTTATTTCAACCACACTGTTGAGCGTCACATGGAGCCCAGACCAGGTAAGGATGGTAGTTTCCTTCCCTAAAGGACATTATGAACCAAATAGGCTTTTTCCTGACGATCGACAATGGATTCATGGTCATCGTTAGACACTTACTTCCAGATTTGTTTTAATTAAATTCAAATTCCACCTTCAGCTGTGGCAGGATTCGAACCTGGGTCCCCAGATTAACTATCGAGAGATACTACGATGACCAGCACCTCCCTAGCAACAGCCCAGCAACAGTCTTAAGATTGATCAGTTGCAGATCTGTAAGTGCACTGCAGCTACAGACATCCAGAATCTACCAACAGGGAACATCTCTCTTTCCCTTTTGAGTGAAACCACAAACAAAAACCTGGATGCTACAAAGAGAGAATTCGCATACAAGACCCAAATCCAACTGAAGACATGAAGACCAATTATCACTCTGTAGATATTGTGTCATTGTTACTGGAAAGTCCGAAAATCTGTAAGAAATAACTCACCACCTTTATGGTCTGGAGTTTTGATTTATAGAAATTTTTCCTGCCTATATTTTCCAGCCATAATATTTGTGTCAAAGAACAAAGAAAATTACAACACAGGAGCAGACCCTTCGGTCCTCCAAGCCTGCGCTGATCTAGATCCTCTATCTAAACCTGTCGCCTATTTTCCAAGGATCTGTATCCCTCTGCTCCCTGCCCATTCATGTATCTGTCTAGATACATCTTAAATGATGCTATCGTGCCCGCCTCTACCACCTCCACTGGCAACGCGTTCCAGGCACCCAACACCCTCTGCGTAAAGAACTTTCCACGCATATCCCTTAAACTTTTCCCCTCTCACCTTGAAATCGTGACCCCCTAGTAATTGAGTCCCCCACTCTGGGGAAAAGCTTCTTGCTATCCACCCTGTCTATACCTCTCATGATTTTGTAGACCTCAATCAGGTCCCCCTCAACTTCTGTCTTTCTAATGTAAATAATCCTAATCTACTCAACCTCTCTTCATAGCTAGCATCCTCCATACCAGGCAACATCCTGGTGAACCTCCTCTGCACCCTCTCCAAAGCATCCACATCCTTTTGGTAATGTGGATACCAGAACTGTACGCAGTATTCCAAATGTGGTCGAACCAAAGTCCTATACAACTGGAACATGACCTGCCAACTCTTGTACTCAATACCCCATCCGATGAATGAAAGCATGCCGTATGCCTTCTTGACCACTCTATCGACCTGTGTTGCCACCTTCAGGGTACAATGGACCTGAACACCCAGATCTCTCTGTGCATCAATTTTCCCCAGGGCTTTTCCATTGACCGTATAGTTAGCTCTTGAATTGGATCTTCCAAAATGCATCACCTCTCATTTGCCTGGATTGAACTCCATCTGCCATTTCTCCGCCTGACTCTCCAATCTATCTATATTCTGCTGCATTCTCCGACAGTCCCCTTCACTATCTGCTACTCCACCAATCTTAGTGTCATTTGCAAACTTGCTAATCAGACCATCTATACCTTCCTCCAGATCATTTATGTATATCACAAACAACAGTGGGCCCAACACGGATCCCTGTGGAACACCACTGGTCACAGTTCTCCATTTTGAGAAACTCCCTTCCACTACAACACTCTGTCTCCTGTTGCCCAGCCAGTTTTCTATCCATCTAGCTAGTACACCCTGGACCCCATGCGACTTCACTTTCTCCATCAGCCTACCATGGAGAACCTTATCAAATGCCTTACTGAAGTCCGTGTATATGACATCTACAGGTCTTCCCTCATCTATCAACTTTGTCACTTCTTCAAAGAATTCTATCAAGTTAGTAAGACATGACCTTCCCTGCACAAAACCATGCTGCCTATCACTAATAAGCCCATTTTCTTCCGAATGTAAATAGATCTTATTCCTCAGTATCTATAATTAGCTCACCGGTCTATAATTACCTGGATTATCCTTGCTACCCTTCTTAAACAAGGGGACAACATTAGCAATTCTCCAGTCCTCCGGGACATCACCCGTGCTCAAGGATGCTGCAAAGATATCTGTTAAGGCCCCAGCTATTTCCTCCCTTGCTTCCCTCAGTAACCTGGGATAGATCCCATCTGGACCTGGGGACCTGTCCACCCTAATGCCTTTTAGAATACTCAACACTTCCCCCTTCCTTATGCTGACTTGACCTAGAGTAATCAAACATCTTTCGCTAACCTCAACATCCGTCATGTCCCTCTCCTCAGTGAATACCGATGCAAAGTACTCATTAAGAATCTCACTCATTTTCTCTGACTCCTCACATAACTTCCCTCCTTTGTCCTTGAGTGGGCCAATCCTTTCTCCAGTTACCTTCTTGCTCCTTATGTATGAATAAAAGGCTTTGGGATTTTCCTTAACCCTGTTTGCTAAAGATATTTCATGACCCCTTTCAGCCCTCTTAATTCCTCGTTTCAGATTGGTCCTACTTTCCCGATATTCTTCCAAAGTTTCATCTGTTTTCAGTCGCCTAGACCTTATGTATGCTTCCTTTTTCCTCTTTGCTAGTCTCACAATTTCACCTGTCATCCATGGTTCCCTAATCTTGCCCTTTCTATCCCTCATTTTCACAGGGACATGTCTGTCCTGCACTCTAATCAACCTCTCTTTAAAAGCCTCCCATATATCAAATGTGGATTTACCCTCAAACAGCTGCTCCCAATCCACAGACAACAAGGTGCAGGGCTGGATGAACACAGCAGGCCAAGCAGCAT